CAAGACTTTCTGGCTCTTCAAATCCAACACGCTTTTTAGGTTATACCCTGGATATGCCCCCCATAAATCAACACAATTCACAAAGTGCTTCTCATACATAGCGCATTTCCTTTATAATTGTCTACCATTAGATCTGAAAAGTTTGAGTAACAGTAATTTTAAAGTTAAAATAAAGCAATTTGTTCTCGATAATATCTAATTTTATACTAAGCTTTCATCTTGTAACTGCTGTGATTCTACATTAAGTGTCTGGTTGCGTTTGACTTATGTACATTTAACTTTATCATCTACTGATCTTTACGTGAATGATTCTTACTTGTGATTCCATAGCTAAATGTTTACGATTAGCTGATATGGTGCGATCAGTTATAATTGAATAGTCCCACAGTACTGTGCATTCGCATGTGTTGCTAACCGGGGGCGGGTTATGACTATACCATGTTCGAGGCACGTCAATATGGAGTTCTTTACAAACTTTCCAATGAATATATGTAGCAACCCTATTATGCCGATGTAGATATTCAGTTGCTGCCGGAACTGTGCACCCTGTAAGGACGTGCTGAATAGTTTCCTCTCTGGTGTTGCACCTTCTACATCTGCTATCGACTGGTTTGCCCAGAATCTTGCGCTGGTGGTATCTTGTGTTTAGGGCTTGATCCTGGGCTGCTATGAGCAAACTTTCGGTTTCTCCCTTCAGATCTGAACTGTGCAGCCAAGATAGCGTGTTCTGTCTATCTATGTAAGGTTTTTCCAGACTATGGAAGAATTGACCATGAAGTGGTTTGCGCTTAATTGATTCGATTCTGTGCTCTTCAATGTTGTTTCTGAGAGCAAGTTGTTCGCCTGTTGTTTCAACTTCGGTTGGAGCTTGTTCCTCAGGGAGATATTTCGCACGGACACCTTCAGATATTTTTAGCAAAGAGTATTTTGCCTTATTTGCTTCATGTTGTTTCACCAATTCTATCATACGATCGGTGTTGTTTGAAATGTATTTGCTGAGATTGACGATGGCAATGTTGTACGCAGATTCAATCTCAATTGGTCCACGACCTCCATTCCTTCTTTTTACATAAAGCCTATCGACATCGGATTTGGGGTGGTGCATACCATGCATGGTGAGTATTTTGCGTGTTCTTCTGTCGATTTCTCTAAGTTCCTCTCTCCTCCAATTCAGTATGCCAAAACTGTATGACATCACGGGCACTGCTAGGCTGTTGATTGCATGGATTTTATTCTTCGAGTTCAGTTTTGTTTTAAGCACAAGACGTATATGGCGGATGTATTCTTTTCGTGTGTTGGTTTTCATTTTCTCGTGCTGAACTTCTTCCCTCTCATCTACTCCCAGGTATTTGTAGGGCTCACCTTGCTCTAGACTTTCTATAGTTGTTCCATCATACAGTTGAATATTATCACTATTATTATTATTATTATTATGATTACTATTATTATTATTATTATTATTATTATTAATTCAACGTGCAAATCGTGGTTCCAGCAGGTCAGAGCAACTTGTCACAGAGGTAGGGAAACAATGAATCACTTGCGAACAATTTTTCCGAGACGTTTAATTTCTCGATTTGGTGATGTCATCTGACCACCAAGGTCACCAGATTTAACGGCTCCTGACTTTCTTTTACAGGAATTCATTGAAAAATAGGCTTCATGCCGAAAAAACATTCGGATTCTGGAGGCTGACATTAATCTGTCTGATATTATTTTTCACACATAGTTTCTAAGTTTCAATAAAATATTATTTTATTTCAATTCACAAATATTCAAGATACAAACCAGTCAGTTACATGTCGGCCACCCTGAATAACATGCTATTGCATGTTGATGATTAGTTGTTGAATTATAAGCGATTCAGTGTACAATAACACAACTTAGACAGTGTGCCAGTGCACATTTTGAAAGATAATAAATTCAGATTATGGTGATATATCGTATTGATAAATACCTTTGAAATGAGTACCACATAATCCCCTATTCTATAAAAAAAAGATGCCTCATGGTGCCGTTCAGCCGCCGTTTTTTAATATCCAACTTTTATTCTTACGCTATGCATCGATTTCATCGTCCAAAATTAAAACTCGCTAACTTGACCTGTTGGAAAAATAGGCTAAGGAAAAGCACTGTATAACCAAGTCAAAGCTACGTCAGAAATATATCTCTCTACTGTCACTAAGCTGTACAAGACCTTACAAGATGGTATCATGGACATGTCACTTATATTAAAGTTATTTTTAAATATTTAGTCGCTGTTGAAGTTTTTAGCACTTAGATATGATTTAACCTGTTTGTTCTCTTGTAACTATCATTGCTTGTTAGCAGTTGTTAACTTTTCTCCAAAAATATCTTATTTATATAATTTTCTAATTGTATCTCTAGCTTATCAATCACTTATCTTTTATTGTATTATTTATTGTGACCATTTTTTTATAAATCTTAGATGTTTTTATCTAGGTTAAATTCAAAAGCAGCTTTTGCTGACACTTCGGGTTTTTACCGTTCGTGTAAATAAAGTCGTGATATTATATTATTAAATGCTAAGACGAGTCCTGAAGCTAGAGAAAGTCAGTGGACCATAAACGTCAAGAGAGACAAAATCATTGCTATTAGTATGACACAACAGTTAGTCTACGCTCATGACGTATATTTTGTCTGTCATCCTAAAGCCTCCCTTTCTCCATTCCCCGACCCGACCGCGCCGATAATATCCATCGTGATATGAAGCGGCAGCGGCAGCAGCATTTCGTGGCGTTGCAGAGCGGCCCCCCGAGGGTGTCAAGAAGGAAAAGGAACAAGGAAACGAGCACGTCGCCTCCGCGGTGCACCCTATACCCCCACCCCTTCCCTTATTCACCCACCCGGTGCTCCCCCGACCCCAATGGGGCGGCATAGGCGCGACAAACAAGGGTGCGAGTTTGGAGAAAAGCCGGTATTCTAGTTATTAGATCAGGATATCTGTGAGTGCAGGATTTTGTTAGCAGATGTTCCAAATAGCGCCACGACAATGACCAAGCTAAGTATGCTTGACTGTGTTCAAAGACGTTTCCTAAAATATTTGTCATTAAATGTGGATGGCATATACCCGGCCATTGGTATACCTCCTGAATCCCTAGTTTTAAACCAAATGAGCAGTCTGAACTACTTTATTTTAATGTTGTTGACAACAATGACCAAAATATGAGGTTTTTGTCTATTTTCGGAATAAGTTCATTCTGCTGCAAGCTGTTAACCAATCTCTCATTCTGAAAAACACAAAAATTCGATGAGGTTCTTTTTACACCATACTATAATATAGGGGCAACGTAGAGAAGTGGGATCTTTAAAGTCACAGCGACACTATACTTTGTGCTGTCTTATTTTGATAGACCTTATACTCTCAATAGAGGATAGTTGTTAGGCTTTTGCTGTTGTCCTACCTGAGACGAAGCCTAGACCATGCTGAGGAGTTGCCAAATAACACGAAACAGGCTGTCGATACTTGGCCGTCTGTGTTAATCCTGTATAATTCAAATACTAGAGACTAGAATTTCCGAAGAATTGTCTACAATTCTTTTAACTTTAGTACATCGAAAGCTAAAACAGTCATTTTTGAAATCATTTATGCGGAAAAACACACATAGTATTTTTTGAGAGAGATTCTACATTCATCCATATGCTGCTACGAGCTGAATGTAACCTTTGGTTACGAGTGCATTGCTGTCCAGAACGCCCAAAATTACCAAATCTGCAATTTCAACTAGTAAGAAAAATATGAAATAGCCCATAAAGGTTCAGATTTTTAGAAAAATCGTAATAGGCAATTTATGTCAGTAAACGATTGGATTTTGAACACTATTATAAGGTCAAATCTGTCGTTAATGACCTCATCTACAACTTCCTTAAATTTTCCCCTGCAAGCCTGTATACACGAAACATCCTTGATCCTTTCTCCCTCTATAAATTGGAAAACGTTACTGATTGATCCTTCTCTAAATCAAAAGCTACCAATTTTAAATAGTGAAATTTAACAGGGACATCAATTAGAGTTTGTATTAATCTATGTAGTATAACCGAAATAATTTGCGAGCATTTTACATTTTAATTAGAATAGCTCTTTGAACTGGAAATTCGTTGTGCTTATATTGGACATAAATAAGACATATACTTTGATAAACTTAAAGGGCTAATTACTCTTTTTTAAATATACATAATATAACTTTATGTTGACTTTTCAAAGGCTTTTGATAAGCTAGATCAAGGTATTTTCTTAAAGACGGGGGGTAACCTATCAATTCCTGAGTTTTTTCAATTCTTATTTGACAAACAGATGCTGGCGAGATGAATAATGGCTTTACCTCCATTCAGATTATACCCTCTTCCGGCGGACCTCAAGATTCTGCTTTTTGCCCTTTACTTTTCCACATTTACATTCAATCATCTTTTGTGAAATTGAAACCATGGATGACTGTTATATTTTGCAAAACGACTTAAATAATTTAAATAAATGGCGTAACCGTAACAAGCAGTACCGACACTATGTCTATTACATGCAAACTTGTACCAATCAGATTCATATACATGTTGTTTGGAAGGTCGATACAAAGTCTTGGGGGGTGATTAGAATCTTTTAAGCCAAAAATACCTTAGTTCAAGGTCTAACGGTTTTCGAGTCATTCTAGATTTTCGATTTTTATTAAAAAAATATGCCTTTTGTTCCTGTTATCGCTGAAAGAACATCAGGCTACATGAAATAGTTTTTAAATACCTGACAGCGTGGTTTTTGTCTCCGAAGGTAGAGAAAACAAAAACAAATTGACTATAAACAAATATTAAATACATGTTTTCCTATTTTTGTGATACTGATAAGAAGGAACGTGTTTCCGTGCATGATAAAACTAAATTCCATACATTCGCGCTTTATTCCTTTCCTAAGAAGTCAATAGTAATTCACGAATTAATTAGTTTGTAAAATGGCCGTTTTCACTAACGAAGAATACGCAGATATCGTTTACATGTATGGCAGAGCAGATGGCAATGGACTGGAAGCACTACGGTTGTACCAAGAGCGATTTCCTGGGAGAAGATTGCCTAATATCAGAGTGTTTTACAATACTCACCGACCTCTTTACGAGACTGGAAGATTAACACGTAATGCACCTGGTGTTAATCCAGGTCGATATCCTCCCGAAGCCGAAGATCTACTCCTCCAAGCCTTTGAAGATGATCCCACTACAAGTACTAGGAAAGTTGCGGCTGATCTTGGTTTATCGCCATGGAAGGTTTTAAGTATTATGCACCGCGAATGAAAATAAAAAATATCCTTTTCATGGTATTGGGATACAAGGATTTGAAGATGGTGATCCTTTTCGCAGAAGTCAATTTTGTCGTTTTCTCTTACATAGTGACCTTGAGAATGAACGATTCCTGGAAAGAATTATATGGACGGACAAAATTTTTCAAAGGAGGGCATTACAAATTTTCACAATTTGCACCAATGGGCTGATAAACAGGAAAATCTACACTGGAACAAACAAGTCTCTTTCCAGCACTAATCATCCGTTATGGGACAAAGATTAATCGGTCCTCATTTTTTGCCTGGAAGTTATCTACACTTTTTGCAAAATGATCTTCCCGAATTACTTGTAGGAGTAGAAATTTCCGATGACATGCAAATGTTTTCCACACGACGGATGTCCAGCTCATAGACGTGAGACAATATTTGGACGAAACTTTTTCAAATAGCTGGATAGGCAGAGGTGGACCAATTCCGTGGCATGCTAGATCCCCGCACTTGACACCATTATAGGGAGGCGGGCTAAACAGTTAGCTTACATTGAAGAAATCGTATCAAGAGATCATTTAATAAGAAAAATTCGAGAAGCTTTTTATTTAATGCAGCAAGACAGGTTATTGCATACAACAACTACCGAAGTAACACGTGGAGCTCGAGCATGTATTAGAAACAATGGTTCTCACTTTGAACATCAATAAAGCATGTTTAAATAGTTTATTTTGTTTCTTTTACTAATTTATGATTTAAATTTGAAAACCCGAAACCCGGTAGACTTTGTACTGAAGTATGTTTGGCTTAAAAGACTCTAAATGGTCTGCCCTATCCTCTCCCCAAGACTTTGTATCGACCTTCCAAAAACCCTGTATAAGACTGATAATTCGCATCTGAACATGTGCTAAGACTTAAACGACTTAGGTGTATTATTTGACACGAGACTTACATTTGTTACGCATATCGATGGTGTTGTTAGCAAGGCTTAAAAAATGCGAATACTATGATTCCAAATTGAATACTACTCGTATATTGTGGTGTCTTGTCTTTGAGGTTCACTCTATTAGACAATGGTATGCACCCAGAAGTTGGCTTCAGGCATAATGTATTAGTTAGCAGATATGACGTCTGTAACTTGGAGAAGCGCAAAAACTATGCTGCTTGTGAATTTATAAATTACTTAATGCTAAAACGCGATCCAATTGAAATTACTTTTCCTTAAGCGTAGCTAGATACAATGTGTTGTTTTCCTCTTCCATACATGTAATATGTAAAAATTATGAACTTGAACGAAATGCCGTAGATTTATCCTTTTGTAACTTAGTTAGATTTATAAATATTGTATTTAACAGTAGGTAAAGTTAATTGGTAATTTTAATATGTTTTTAAATATTTTTATGTCTTAAAATTGATGTTCCTATCCGTTAAAAATGTATTAATCCGTTCCGATAGTGTATATACGAGTAAATAAATGAATAATTCCCTCGAAAAAACAGTCTATTCAAAAAATCTGTTTAGTTCTTCGATTCATTTTTCTGAAGAATTCGAAACGCGGACATGGTTTCTCCACGTAGTTTCAATTATAGCACAATTTAAGTTTTATGAGCGAGAGACAGTCACAAATTTCATTACGCATTTTTTCATATATGAAAATGTGGAAAGTGACTCATATTCGATTTCACATTACCATACGCCACTGATATCTCTGACAATACGGCGATTGAGAAAAGGTATTAAATATAGATTGGGGGTGAATAAGGGTATGGTGGTGAGGGCGAGGGTAAGGGTGGTAAGTAAATTAGGGAACTTTGATGGGTCGCTCGATGGGCTTTTCACAGTTAGAAAAATTAGCGGAGCTATAGACGCTCCTGCTAATGGAAAATCGATAAGGAGGTCAACGTAATCTGATGAAAAAATAAAACACGTGCTCCTAGATGTAGGGCACAGGTAGAGATAGATACCTACAAGGTTCATCAACTTATGTTATAGTTCGGGATATTGCATTATGTTTTAACTTCATTTCGCTGTAGGCTATTAGTATATGCAGATGATTACAATACAAACAGATGTGTAATAGGTGAATGAGGAAAGGTGTTTCTTCAAAAGCGAGGTTCCGAAAAACATCAAGAACGTTAAATGTTAATCCACAAGAGACAATAGAAGCGTTTATCAATTGTGGCAAAGATTATCTGTTATTGAAATCATCTTGCAGCAAACTACTAGATAGACACTGGTATTTCGCAATATCAGTGGCACTTGTAGTTTGTACTGCCCAATGCTCCAATTTCAAACTGTTGTATACTAATTTGTTTCTATCTTTTCTTATCAAGTTTGTTAAGCCCTCCTTGTCAGTTTTACATCCATGCTAGACTGGGCTAGGACTATCTCATAATATAATCCGTTTTGCCTTTGAAATTATCGAAATATCATCTTTTCGTAATACTATATATCTCAGTATATATATTTAAGGAAGTCTGTACTTTTACAAACCATTAAATTTCTGAAGATGGTTTAGTGCAAAATAAACCCAAATGAACCGAACCGTCAAAGGAAATATGAGTATATCCATTCATAACCAATTGACCGAAATAAGATAAAATCAAGGGAACCGGTATCAATTTAAATCTGAAATTCATCCCCTATTTCGATCTTCCCGCGAACTTGGCAAGTCGAAATCCATATTATCTTTTCTTATCAAGTTTGTTAAGCCTTCCTTGTCAGTTTTAAATCAATGCACTATATTCAATCCGTTTTGCCTTTGGAAATATCGAAATATCACCTTTTCGTAATATAAAGGCTGGGCCATCAGTTGTTTTTTTAAGTTGGTATTATTTTGACAGTTGCTAATACCTCCATGCTCAACATATTGACAGATATATTGTGTCAAACTTCCGCTGTGAGCCATCAGTCGTTTTAATCTTGAAGAAATGTGGGAGATATTGAAAAAATAAGTGAGTGCTGTGTTCCAGAAACCTTGCGAACATTGAGAAGACTATTTGGTCGGAATGAAGCTCAGTTCGCGACTGGTATACGAAATTCATTAAGAAGGTTCGTGAAACTTACCTGCTTGTAGATAACAGAAGGTATGAGCGTGTTCGACCATACGTATATCAAAAAATATTCCTGCTGTTGCCCAGAGTGTGCGTGTAAACGCAAGAATGTCAACTCTTCAAGAGGACATCAGTCGCACTTCTTCGGTATCGTTTATCTGTGTGGGCTCTTAATCAATTGGAAACGGACGACAATTTTGGTCACTAAATCATCTTTTCAGACGAAGCCCATTTCTATATGGGAGGTTACGTTAACACGCAGAACTGTAGGATTTTTGGTTCTGAAAATCCACATGTCATAGAAAAACCAATGCATCCAAAAAGCGTAACTGTTTGATGTGGCTTTGGAGTGGTGGGATTATTGGTCCCTACTTCAACGGATGGCCCACCCTTTATATCTCAGCATATATATTTCAAGAAGTTTGGAGCGATGAGGCAATCTCTACTTAGGCTATATATTGCTTATTTAGTAGCTAAAAGGGATTGTTTAGCTCCATTACTGCAATTTAACGTCGTTTTTTCGCTTATGTGTGATTTGGTTCTTATTTCGGATGCCGATAAAACGTAACCATACAATACATGTCAACATTTGAAATTAGAGGTAATTTTCCTCACATCTAATGGACCTTACCTTTATTACAAAAGTTATGTGACCTTCTAAGGACAGTGTGTGGAAAAACTCAGTACGTCATGCTATGGCGCGAAATTTTACATTTTGATCTTGGATTAGATTTTTGTCTCTTCTCGTACATAGAAATGAAAACTCTCTGATTATACTTTTTGGAGACAAAATATTGATCGAAATAAGACTTTTGAAAAATACGTCACAATATTTTCCATTTTCCTAACTAGTCTAAATGGTTCTACTAATTCTATTTCACTTTTTGTAAGAATTTTTGTGTTTCTTGTGCTTTGCACTCTCAGAGGGTGGAAACGCTAGTTCTTTGTTCAATTTCCATATTGTCTGGAAAAAAGATCTTGTATGTGATGCTCAGGTCTTTAGCCCACTACATTAAACCTTCTTTATGTGGAACTAATCTATATTCACTACATTTAAAAAAATGTGTATTGAATTTGGACCCAGAACATTGCTTTCACTTTTCTGTGGCAGTACTAAATTCCAGGCGACAAGCAGTGTGTCATTGCTTTGTATCTCTCGCATCCAGGGTTGTGGGAAGAATAGTGCAAACTGTTTTCAAGACACTGCTGTATTTCTGTAGCTCAGCAAAGTTGGTAGCAAGAAACGCACGTAGAATCAGGAAGGCAACAAATGCATGGCAAGAATATCTTAACTGCAGCACTTATTTGAGCATGTACGTCTGGAGTCAAAGCTGATTTCGGGGTCCAGTTCCAGTAAGGCCAATACCGTCCCTATAGTTACAATGTGGGGCTACAGGTAGTACTATTTCCTGTCACATTTAAATGCTACTTGCATGTAATAAAGTGATGACAGATTGGTCACCTTCCGTATCACATTCTAACTATTCCGTGGTCCAGTGTTTTGGATTTTGATTTGATATTTTCAGGGCTTGTATACGTTTTATACCATTAGAGATTGCAATCCTGCAAAACGGGTTCCCGCATTCGCATTGGTGAACCTGCGAAATCCCGCATCTACAAAACGCGATCCGCTGATGCTGCAAGTTTAAATATTTCTGCTGATTCTTTCGCGCGATTCCACAAAGGGTATTTACTTCTCAATTCTGAGTATTAGTATTTATTAACGTTCTTCCAAAATGATATGAATGTCACCCAATATTTTTTTAATAATTTTTTGTAATCTCTAATGGATCTTGCAGGAAACATTACCAAAAACTAATAACGGATGGATAAGAATTGAAACCAAATTGAATCATGCTGTTACTCATTTCATGCTTCCACGGCAATAAGTGAGGAAGGACAGTTTGATAATCCCGAAAAACTTCAGGTGCGTCAATTGGTGAGGAAATACTGTAATTAAGACAAAAATTGA